GTCGAATGGTATCTCTGAAATCCATGTAACGCCACATCCCGCATGTTTGTGCAAAGAAAACATGTTTCATGGTTTATGTAAATTATGTGTACATTAGTACCTAGCAACATCTATGTAAGGGTCGCGACAATCTGCAGGCCCCGTGAACTTAGCGTGTCATAATAGGCGACTAACGGGATCGGGTGGCCAGACTCGGTGAACTCGTTGATGCTTGTCATCGTATCCCAGTTGCGTAGAACGATGTTCATGACGTCATTCATTGAATTGTCTGCTCCAGATTCGATTGTTTACAGACCGCCGTCATATAGCTGGAATATTGTTGAGTGCGGCGTCAACAACAAACAAACAAACAAAACAACCATGGATAAAGGTGAATGAGTGGATGTTTTTTTACGTAACTTTCAGAAATATTCGTGCCATATCACGGTAGCTTTTTAATAATGAAGTCTGGGCCAGACAATCCAGTGATTAACATCATGAACGAATCGATTTCAGCAATTAGAATACGATGGCATTCATCAACAAAGCTAGCGCGCCTGAGCATGTTAATAATCGAGGCTGGGCCGGACAATGTTTTGTTTGTTTGATTAACGCCACACTCAGCAATATTCCGGCTATATGCCGACTTTTACGGCAAGCATGGGTTGCTGAAGACCCATTCTACCCGGATCTTCATGGGTTGCCTGACAATGATCTACGTTATGGCGGCGCGATACACTTCTGCCTCACACCAAAAAGGAACAGAATGCGAAAAAATGCATGAGACAAGAGGTAAACATGAAACCCTCTTCCTTAGAGTATATTTGTAATTGTTCGTTATTTTTTCTCATAAAATGACAGTTTGGGCAGTTTCGGTTATTCTATACAACGTTAAAACAAACAAAGACGGTTTGGATTATAGGCATTAAAGGAATGATATATATAGAGAATCTCACCCAAGTGTCTTTTGATATCAAATATATCAACACGAGTTGATAAAAGTGGGAAAACTCCGAGGCTTGCCGAGGATTCTTTCCACTTTTATCAAGGAGTGTTGATATATTTGATATCAAAAGACACGAGGGTGAGATTTTATTTACCATCCAACATCATTCTTCCAACATTTTCAGTTTGTAGAAAGTAATAAGCAGTGTTTTAAGTGTAAAAAGTACTGCTAACAGCTTCAGTAGCAGAGCCATTAGTGATGTCATTTGATTGGTAACCAATGACGTCACAATTGCTTCGGTGCACAACGAGAGAGAAGACTGCCTCTGTGCACAACGAGAGAGAACACTGTGTCTGTGCACAACGAGAGAGAACACTGTGTCTGTGCACAACGAGAGAGAACACTGATTCGATACACGACAAGAGACAACACTGTGTCTGTTCACAACGAGAGACAACACTGTGTCTGTTCACAACGAGAGACAACACTGTGTCTGTGCACAACGAGAGAGAACACTGTGTCTGTGCACAACGAGAGAGAACACTGTGTCTGTGCACAACGAGATAGAACACTGCCTCTGTGCACAACGAGAGAGAACACTGATTCGGTACACGACAAGAGACAACACTGTGTCTGTTCACAACGAGAGACAACACTGTGTCTGTTCACAACGAGAGATAACACTGTGTCTGTTCACAACGAGAGACAACACTGTGTCTGTGCACAACGAGAGAGAACACTGTATCTGTGCACAACGTGAGAGAACACTGCATCTATGCACAACGAGAGGGACCATTACATCTGTGCACAAGGAGAGAGAAGACCGCATCTATTCACAAGGAGAGACAACACTGCATCTGTGCACAACGAGAGACAACACTGTGTCTGTGCACAACGAGAGAGATGCTGCATCTATGCACAACGATAGAGAACACTGCCTCTGTGCACAACGATATAGAACACTTTTTCTGCACAACGAGAGAGACCACTACATCTGTGCACAAGGAGAGAGAAGACCGTATCTATGCACAAGGAGAGAGAACACTGCATCTGTGCACAACGAGAGAGAAGACTGTATCTGTGCACAACGAGAGAGAAGACTGTATCTGTGCACAACGAGAGAGAAGACTGTATCTATGCACAACGAGAGAGAAGACTGCATCTGTGCACAACGAGAGAGAAGACTGTATCTGTGTACAACGAGAGAGAAGACTATATCTGTGCACAACGAGAGAGAACACTGTATCTGTGCACAACGAGAGAGAAGACTGAATCTGTGCACAACGAGAGAGAAGACTGTATCTGTGCACAACGAGAGAGAAGACTGTATCTGTGCACAACGAGAGAGAACACTGTATCTGTGCACAACGAGAGAGAAGACTGTATCTGTGCAAAACGTAAGAGAAGACTGCATCTGTGCACAACGAGAGAGAAGGCTGTATCTGTGCACAACGAGAGAGAACACTGCATCTGTGCACAACGAGAGAGAAGACTGTATCTGTGCACAACGAGAGAGAAGACTGTATCTGTCCACAACGAGAAAGAAGACTGTATCTGTACACAGCGAGAGAGAACACTGTATCTGTGCACAACGAGAGAGAAGACTGTATCTGTGCACAACGAGAGAGAAGACTGTATCTGTGCACAACGAGAGAGAAGACTGTATCTATGCACAACGAGAGAGAAGACTGTATCTGTGCAAAACGTAAGAGAGACGCTACATCTGTGCAGAATAAGAGAGAACTCTATGTATACGCTGTTAAGAGACTAATCTACGATATTTCAAAAACGTTTTCATTATACATACTCGTGTTACTCAAAATACTTTCTCAAAGGCCTGTATGTCCACTGGTATGTGTTTTCGATCACGTAGTTGTCGATTGGTCACACTTACCTACCTGAAGTGACACTATGTCAAAACAACTTTTGATTGCGTATTATCAGCTTTCAGAATATGTGCCGTGTACAGGTGAATGAATATAGAGCATAGTGAGTGAGTGAGTGAGTGAGTGAGTATGGTTTTACGCCGCTTTTAGCAATATTCCAGCAATATCACGGCGGGGGCACACCAGAAATGGGCTTCACACATTGTGCCCATGTCGGGAATCGAACCCGGGTCTTCGGCGTGACGAGCTAACGCTTAAACCACTAGGCTACCCGACCGCCCCTGTAGAGTATAGACACACAGTGTACAGCATCACACTTCGTTGTATCATGGACAGGTTAGGCCACAGTTTGGATTGTGAATTCTTCAGTTTAATTTCCCTCAAATGTGAAACTTTGTACCATATTGCTAAAATGTATTTGTTGTTTATTAATATTCAGTTGAACAGATGCGGTTATTGTGTTTTGATACCTCTGACTTATCATATACTTCAGTTCAATTCCTTATTTGTGAGGTGAGATGAAGTGGGGTTTAAAGTCGCGTCCAAGATCATTGCACTTATACAGCGATATGCATGTGTGTGTGTGTGTGTGTGTGTGTGTGTGTGTGTGTGTGTGTGTGTGTGTGTTCGTGTGTGTGTGTGTGTGTGTGTGTGTGTGTGTGTGTGTGTGTGTGTGTGTGTGTGTGTGTGTGTGTGTTCGTGTGTGTGTTCGTGTGTGTGTGTGTGTGTGTGTGTGTGTGTGTGTGTGTGTGTCCGCTTGTACAAACCCGGACTGATGCCGATTTATAGTTCTGGCTCTTTGAGATACCATGCCTTGTTTTAGCCCCTTAATGCCGAGACTGGGTAACAACAAGTACCATCTTTTAACACCTTTTGATATGACGCGGGCGGACGTTCTACCACTAGACCACTGGGGCGGTCCAATTCCTTATTGTATGAAAGGCCACGGGACCATATACAATGGAGTTACATTACACATTTTATTAGACACAAAGTGAAGGTAACAATTACTTTCGCGACAAAAACGCATGAGTGAGTGAGTGAGTATGGTTTTACGTTGCTGTATATATGTACATATGTATATATACTCTCTCTGTATCACATGTTGTTATTTATGGGGCCAGGGATCAAAAGGGGGCGTTTTGCCTGTTATGTGTAGTGGGCCCGTTTGCTATTGTCACAATGACTGACGATAGTCGAGGATTTAATTTGGAAGAGCTGACTGCTTAAAACAGAAAGAGTGAGTGAGTGAGTATGGTTTTACGCCACGTTTAGCAATATTCCAGCAATATCACGGCGGGGGACACCAGAAATGGGCTTCACACATTGTACCCATGTCAAGAATCGAACCGGGGCTTCGGCGTGACGAGCTAACGCTTTAACCACTAGGCTACCCGACCGCCCCACAAAACGCTGTTTCTAACGCAAATACACAGATCATAACAACAACATCTACCTGAAAGCGATGGTTTAACTGCTGGGGCAAAGTATAGGTTGTCTGTAAACGTAATGATAAACTTCAATTAATGGGGATCATATTGGATCCCCTCAAACTCAGAAATATATGTAGTGTTTTTTAACATAATGATATACCTCAATTAATGAAGCTCATATCACAGTGGAGTGGAGAAGCCTGAACAAAGGGTTAGTAGACATGTTGACCGACGAAGTCAGTAGTATAGACAAAAGGGTGAATCCAGTATAAACACTAGGATTATGACTGATTGGGGTCTTTTATGAGTTTATCGTACGCCGGGGGTATGTAAAGCCTTGGTCAAGGTTGGTTGACGGTTGGATGATCATTTATCAGAACAACTCGCTTGAGTTCTTTGTCTCTGTATTCTGCTATCCAAGCAGTTCAGTTGTCAGTTAAGCAGTGTATAATTCAACAAATAGTCGACATGGATCCAACTTTAAATGTCATTTCTTCGGGCCTGGGTCCCGTTACCCAAAGGTTGAAGCCAGTAATATAAACAAAATGATTATGACTGAGTTGATGGTACGACAGGGATATGTAATAGCCTTGGTCAGGGTTTATTGACGGTTAGAGTAATGTTATTGAAGGTGATAAAAAGCCTCAATTAATGAAGCTCCAGCTGTGATATAAATGTACATTGTCTATTCTCATTTTCCCATTTTATCAACTCTGAAAATAAATGTTGTGAAAATAACAGGAAATAAAAAGATGACCAACTTCCCTACATACTTTATTTACTTAATTAAAATCACTGCTTTAAGTGTGATGAAACTATTGACTTAGTTCAACTAAACGTCTTTTGGATAATAACACAATCCTTTCTTGAACCACACTCCTACGTCCGTGTATGCTTTCCTATACTTGTCCTTGTTCCACAGCCTATCACATATTTCACACATTGCTCTGGCATCACTGTGATATGCCATATAGGTTATGACTCCATTCTGTACAATAGGCCATTCTTCAAAAATGGGTTCATATTGGTCTTTGAGACGAACGAGTTGAATATATTCCTCGTCATTCTTATCCAACATATTGATGTGATTTGCCAGTGCCTTGGGCGATTCAAAATCTGCTGCGTTCAAAAAGGTTCCCTCTGGAGCTACGCTTCTGTAATCTCCTCCTCCCCGAACAATCACTATCATGTTTGCGTTGTAATAACGAAAGAATTTTTCTGTAATATAATCTTTGCAGAAAGCGTTTTCAAAGGCGAGGTAGAACTTATACTCTGTTCCAATTGTTTCAAGACAAGAGCTATCATTTAATCTTGCACATGTCTTCGAACCACATTCGCCAAATATATCGACCCTGACATATTTGTTCAACTCCGCAACATATTTATGGCGTAGGCTCATAGTGTGGCAATTACTCACCAGCCAGGCAACAACACCTTTCTTTGATGCCAAAATATTTGTGTAATTTTTTGACAAAGATACTGTCCTTTTATGAAACATGCCATTTTTGTCTCTTTCGAAATATCCATATGGAGCTCTTACATCGGCATCTTCTCGGTAGTCCATTGTCCAGTTGAAAGTGTCTTTCCAGTGTTCATTGTAAAGATTCATATGTCTAGCCCAGAGGTGAGGGGATTCGTGATTATGTAGAAGCCATACTTGATTCGGTAGTTTAGGAGGAGGTTTATAATCTCGAATAAGCTGTGCAGTGAACACAAGAGCGTCACTTTGATTATAAAATGCCCTGTTTGTTGTCACTCGACACTTAACTTCCGGACAATGGCGAAGCTTGTGAAGTTGAGATAAAACTGGGTGATATCTCGTTGGGACATACCATAGAATAACTTTAGTATCTAGAGAAACAGGAACAGTGGCTTCTTCTATAACATGTAGCCTTCGCAACAGTTTCAAACTCCTCACTTCACCATCACTCAGATGAATGGCCGGCATGGTTCTATAACCAGCGCTGTACCCAGAAGAGATAATGGTACCGCCGGACAGATGACTCTGCAAGGAATTCAGCGAAAGTGAACTATCATGAGAGCTGATATGCTGTTTACTTCGGTCAGTCAGTTTAATCCCAGAACGCAATACATTCTTTCCCTGCTTTCCCCAATCAGGGATGAGTGGAGAAGAATCTTTGTTTCCAATCATATCCCTGGTAAAGTATATTACCAGCATACAGCTGAGCACCAAGGCAAACAGAAATCGGAGGGAGAGTTGCTTCATTATCTTTGAGCCACACCTACAACAGAAAGTAAGAGGTGAATATACAGCGACCAAAAAATATATACTACTCAAAAGAAATTAAAGAACATCCGATTTTCTCATATTAATATAATAAATCTCCCAATGCACGACTGATTACCTGCAGTTAAAAGTTAATCTTTTCTTTTAATGTTCTTTGTAGTTTTCGTCCAGGATTTTTGGGTTTCCCTCGAGTTGAAGTTTGAACACAACAAACTATTTCTCCCAAAGATGGGTTGGGTCCTTTTTAAAATCACACACCCTTTATGACAAGATAACAAGATGAAAAAAACCACTGTTAACATTGTGATATTGTAATGTCGCATTAAAAGTATTTTAAGTAAGTGAGTAAGTGAGTCTTTTGTTTAATGACACTTTGAACAGTGCTTCAGTTGTATCAATGCATGTCCTGATCCGGGGTAGAACAGGTCTTCAGCAACCCATGCTTGCCGTTAAAGGCGACTATGCTTGTCGTAAAAGGCGACTAACGGGATCGGGTGGTCAGGCTCGCTGACTTGGTTGATGCATGTCATCGATCCCAATTGCGTGGATCGATGTTCATGATATCAATCACTGGATTGTCTGGTCCAGACTCGACAATTTACAGACCGCCGTCATATATCTGGAATATTGCTGAGTGCGGCGTTAAACATCAAACCAACCAAATCAACCAACCTGATCAGATGGACGTATGAGCAGGCCCAATGTTATGCAGATCTTAGACGTTTACCACTTTGGTGACACCAACGAGCACGGGTCATGTGCTGATAAACCACAAGCATAACCAGGCTATATCTGGGATTACGATCATAGTTATAATGGCACTCAAGCGATCGTGGTTAAATTGTCCGCTCGTCATATCGAAGGCACGGGTGCGATTCCCAAATTGGACACAATGTGTGAAGTCCATTTCTATGTCCCCCGCCGTGATATTGCTCGACTATTGCAAAAAGCGGCGTGAAACCATATTACTCACTCACTCAAGGGATGCAGCTCTCCACAGGGAATTGCGGTGCCTTAAGCCGAATGGGACACCCGTGCCTTCTATTCAATGACAATATATATGAATGTCCGTCTATAACAACAAACACAGGATCGGCACTCTGCAATCTCATTAAAATCAGATATCAGTTCTCGCTATCGCAAAATAAAGATCTGAGGACATCCCATAACGGGTCACATCAGAACCACCTTTTATCCGACCAATCAAAGCGTCGCTCATCAGATCATGAAAGTGACAGTGGGAATGTGTTTTCTAATCATGCAACCTACGTGGGAAGCACTGCCATACAATCTCAACCATATAATAGACATTCCAGAATGTTCGTTTGTTCAGTTTTCAAAATTTTAACCGAGAACTGTGTCAACATATCTTTCAAGCGTAGTCTGAAATGGAAATCGCCAGGTTGAAACGAGTGCCGAAAAGCTGGAGAAAGTGTAATTGGCTGATGACGACTTCTTGTTAGTCATTTCAGTGGTCGGGCAAAGTTCGCGAAAGGTCGTTCTGTCCCTCTCAGGGCCATTTTTGCGATCGGGTTCCGTCTTAGCGCAAACGGGCATACCTAAGACAACTGTCAACTCGTTGCGTAATAGTTCACATATATTTCAGATACAATTTAAAACACATCGGGACATGCGGAATTATACAGTATGATTGAACAAATTTAACTGTGTCTTGGGTATATTTTTAGATGCAAGACATATGTAAAATAAAAAAAATATTTCTGAGGGATTCTTTGATGAAGATCTTGAAATCATACGCGCATTCTGAATGGTTTGTCGTATTTTCGCACATAACATTCATCGAATGTCTTCTTGCAGGTTACGGAGAGGGGCGAGTGGTGACGAATGCAATAGAGAATCGTAGTGTTGTCGAATGGTATCTCTGAAAGCCATGTAACGCCACATCCCGCATGTTTGTGCAAAGAAAACATGTTTCATGGTTTATATAAATTATGTGCACATTTGTACCTAGCAACATCTATGTAAGGGTCGCGACAATCTGCAGGCCCCGTGAAGTTAGCGTTTCATAATAGGCGACTAACGGGATCGGGTGGTCAGACTCGCTGACCTCGTTGATGCTTGTCATCGTATCCCTGTTGCGTAGAACGATGTTCATGACGTCATTCATTGAATTGTCTGCTCCAGATTCGATTGTTTACAGACCGCCGTCATATAGCTGGAATATTGTTGAGTGCGGCGTCAACAACAAACAAACAAACAAACAAACAAACAAACAAACAAAACAACCATGGATAAAGGTGAATGAGTGGATGTTTTTTTACGTAACTTTCAGAAATATTCGTGCCATATCACGGTAGCTTTTTAATAATGAAGTCTGGGCCAGACAATCCAGTGATTAACATCATGCACGATTCGATTTCAGCAATTAGAATACGATGGCATTCATTAACAAAGCTAGCGGGCCTGAGCATGTTAATAATCGAGGCTGGGCCGGACAATGTTTTGTTTGTTTGATTAACGTCACACTCAGCAATATTCCGGCTATATGTCGCCTTTTATGGCAAGCATGGGTTGCTGAAGACCTATTCTACCCGGATCTTCATGGGTTGCCTGACAATGATCTACGTTATGGCGGCGCGATACACTTCTGCCTCACACCAAAAAGGAACAGAATGCGAAAAAATGCATGAGACAAGAGGTAAACATGAAACCCTCTTCCTTAGAGATAAATATGTAATTGTTCGTTATTTTTTCTCATAAAATGACAGTTTGGGCAGTTTCGGTTATTCTATACAACGTTAAAACACACAAAGACGGTTTGGATTATAGGCATTAAAGGAATGATATATATAGAGAATCTCACCCAAGTGTCTTTTGATATCAAATATATCAACACGAGTTGATAAAAGTGGGAAAACTCCGAGGCTTGCCGAGGATTTTTTCCACTTTTATCAAGGAGTGTTGATATATTTGATATCAAAAGACACGAGGGTGAGATTTTATTTATCATCCAACATCATTCTTCCAACATCTCAGTTTGTAGAAAGTAATAAGCAGTGCCTTAAGTGTAAAAAATACTGCTAACAGCTTCAGTAGCAGAGCCATTAGTGATGTCATTTGATTGTGACGTCATGGTAGCCAATGACGTCACAATGGTCTGCAAAGCATTGTGATGCAATTTCATTGCAGCGATATATACACAATGTAGATATCGCTTGATCTCAAACAAGCGATCTCTCCATTTCCTGTGGGAGACAGTTTTGGATTATATATTGGTATCGATCACCAATAGACAACACATGCGTTTGCACGAAGGACACAACCTGTTCAGGCCAACCTTGTTTCCTTGCAATATGATCTGGTTGCTGCCATAACAATCGATTCTACGGCAGATATTACATCATTTATGCATCAGGTTCACATTTCCAGGACATATCCATCGGTACACACATTAACCAGCTGCTAGGAGGCAGTAAGCATATTTACATGTACAATATAAAGACCTTTAGGCTTGATCACACTGAAACACTATCATACAGAAACAGTGCATATTTTTAAAAGGGTGGCTACATTATAACAAACAAACAAGCAAACAAGTACTATCATTATGTCCCTAGACGCTGGGGCCGCTGAGCGTTACCATTGTTTTGAACTTTGCGACATGGATGGCTATTTTTCAGCTAGCAGCAGTCCGGGCCCACTTGCACAAAGCGATCTTAGCACTAAGACTATTGTAAGCCTATGCTAAAGTATGGGAGTTAAGATCATCTTAGCGCTAAGATCGCTTTGTGCAAGTGGGCCCGGGTGTACGGCAACTGAGATGCAGTGTTGATGCGTATTGACATTATTACAGAGTGTCTCTGTATGTCTTATCCATTCAATTAATACAACTTTCATCACTATTTTTTCCTTTTAAGCCATAGGAATCTGTTTTGGCAAATATTCGGAGCTCATTATCCACTGACGCTTTGAATAAGTAAAACAATGGTAAATTCGAAAACATCATGTAGACAAATAAAATAATATTTCAGTTAATTGAGAGCAACATTAATACCTGTGAATGTACTTGGTACACATCCTGCTTCCTCGAGTTCTATGCCACAATAGACCTCTCTTAATATTTATGCACGACCCCAAAGTCAGACTCCAAAACGAGGTTTTCCCCGCATACTACAACTATGGCGTCAAAACAAATCAACACTGCACGACTATCTCGCTGGTGCCATGGATCAATAGGGGGCGTTTTGCCTGTTATGTGTAGTGGGCCCGTTTGCTATTGTCACAATGACTTACGATAGTCGAGGATTTAATTTGGAAGAGCGGACTGCTCGGTTATCACCTTAAAACAGAAAGAAGGCTGTGGAGTCGAGTAGTCTTTATTCGTGGCAGTAAAAATATATAGAGAGACAATTTTCAAACAACATTTAAATGTACAATGTAGATATGATGAAATGACTTTAACGTTTTAATGTAAACATATATTTAGTAATCACAAACCTTGGATAATAATCTTATTCCGATTTCCATGTTATGTAACACCAGTAACTTTAATTGGCATGACTTCTAAATAATCAAGATTTCGACTAACACCTAATTTACATAATGTATAATATATGTTATACATCAGGACAAATTCAATCAATAATGCATTATCATAGACCACAAAAGTTATATGGATATGTACGGTGTGGGGAGGACGGATAGATTGAATGTTTCTGAACGTTAATGGTATTAACAATAGACGTTTACATTCACGGCAATCTGTTGATCAGGTGACCCTTTTCTTATCTGAAAAGGAAGTAGCTGATTGTTCGACGTACATTATAAGTTGTGTACAGTACACTACAACCCAAACGTTTGTAGTTTGCAGTAAAATTGCGAATAATGAGCGGGTAAGTTGCACATATGTCGAGAATAATTTGCGAATAATTTGCGAATAATTTGCGAATAATCTGCAAAATCCAAGGACTTCAACGAAAACGATTTTAATCTAGGAGTTTTATGAGACTATCACGCCGTCAATGCGTGGCTGGCCATGGCAATGGTCTCCATGCATACAATGTACGCCCTGATGCTACACTGTGAATGGATTGGTACATGTAATGTTCGATAAATACATGGAATATATTCCTGCAATAATAATGCTCTCATTAAATATTCTTATTGACATGCATATTTGATTTATGATCGGCTTGCGTCGTGTCTCTTGTCTTGTACAAATCTACTTGTATACATGTTTGTACTAGCATATACTTATGTAGTGGTTTGATGAATACCACTTCGACACTGGTTATATCACAGCTGATGTATGTACATGTACTTGTATACATGTATGTACTAGGATATACTTGTGTAGTGGTTTGATGAATATCACTTTGACACTGGTTATATCACAGCTGATGTATGTACATGTACTTGTATACATGTTTGTACTAGCATATACTTTGTAGTGGTTTGATGAATACCACTCTGACACTGGTTATATAACAGCTGATGTATGTACATGTACTTGTATACATGTATGTACTAGGATATACTTATGTAGTGGTTTGATGAATATCACTTTGACACTGGTTATATCACAGCTGATGTATGTACATGTACTTGTATACATGTATGTACTAGGATATACTTATGTAGTGGTTTGATGAATATCACTCTGACACTGGTTATATCACAGCTGATGTATGTACATGTACTTGTATACATGTATGTACTAGGATATACTTATGTAGTGGTTTGATGAATATCACTTTGACACTGGTTATATCACAGCTGATGTATGTACATGTACTTGTATACATGTATGTACTAGGATATACTTATTTAGTGGTTTGATGAATATCACTCTGACACTGGTTATATCACAGCTGATGTATGTACATGTACTTGTATACATGTATGTACTAGCATATACTTATGTAGTGGTTTGATGAATATCACTTTGACACTGGTTATATCACAGCTGATGTATGTACATGTACTTGTATACATGTATGTACTAGGATATACTTATTTAGTGGTTTGATGAATATCACTCTGACACTGGTTATATCACAGCTGATGTATGTACATGTACTTGTATACATGTATGTACTAGCATATACTTATGTAGTGGTTTGATGAATATCACTTTGACACTGGTTATATCACAGCTGATGTATGTACATGTACTTGTATACATGTATGTACTAGCATATACTTATGTAGTGGTTTGATGAATATCACTTTGACACTGGTTATATCACAGCTGATGTATGTACATGTACTTGTATACATGTATGTACTAGGATATACTTATTTAGTGGTTTGATGAATATCACTCTGACACTGGTTATATCACAGCTGATGTATGTACATGTACTTGTATACATGTATGTACTAGCATATACTTATGTAGTGGTTTGATGAATATCACTTTGACACTGGTTATATCACAGCTGATGTATGTACATGTACTTGTATACATGTATGTACTAGGATATACTTATTTAGTGGTTTGATGAATACCGCTCCGACACTGGTTATATCACAGCTGATGTATGTACATGTACTTGTATACATGTATGTACTAGGATATACTTATGTAGTGGTTTGATGAATATCACTCTGACACTGGTTATATCACAGCTGATGTATGTACATGTACTTGTATACATGTATGTACTAGGATATACTTATGTAGTGGTTTGATGAATATCACTTTGACACTGGTTATATCACAGCTGATGTATGTACATGTACTTGTATACATGTATGTACTAGGATATACTTATTTAGTGGTTTGATGAATATAACTTTGACACTGGTTATATCACAGCTGATGTATGTACATGTACTTGTATACATGTATGTACTAGGATATACTTATCTAGTGGTTTGATGAATATCACTCTGACACTGGTTATATCACAGCTGATGTATGTACATGTACTTGTATACATGTATGTACTAGGATATACTTATGTAGTGGTTTGATGAATATCACTCTGACACTGGTTATATCACAGCTGATGTATGTACATGTACTTGTATACATGTATGTACTAGGATATACTTATGTAGTGGTTTGATGAATATCACTCTGACACTGGTTATATCACAGCTGATGTATGTACATGTACTTGTATACATGTATGTACTAGGATATACTTATGTAGTGGTTTGATGAATATCACTTTGACACTGGTTATATCACAGCTGATGTATGTACATGTACTTGTATACATGTATGTACTAGGATATACTTATGTAGTGGTTTGATGAATACCGCTCCGACACTGGTTATATCACAGCTGATGTATGTACATGTACTTGTATACATGTATGTACTAGCATATACTTATGTAGTGGTTTGATGAATATCACTTTGACACTGGTTATATCACAGCTGATGTATGTACATGTACTTGTATACATGTATGTACTAGGATATACTTATGTAGTGGTTTGATGAATACCGCTCCGACACTGGTTATATCACAGCTGATGTATGTACATGTACTTGTATACATGTATGTACTAGGATATACTTATGTAGTGGTTTGATGAATATCACTTTGACACTGGTTATATCACAGCTGATGTATGTACATGTACTTGTATACATGTATGTACTAGGATATACTTATGTAGTGGTTTGATGAATACCGCTCCGACACTGGTTATATCACAGCTGATGTATGTACATGTACTTGTATACATGTATGTACTAGGATATACTTATGTAGTGGTTTGATGAATATCACTCTGACACTGGTTATATCACAGCTGATGTATGTACATGTACTTGTATACATGTATGTACTAGGATATACTTATGTAGTGGTTTGATGAATATCACTTTGACACTGGTTATATCACAGCTGATGTATGTACATGTACTTGTATACATGTATGTACTAGCATATACTTATGTAGTGGTTTGATGAATATCACTCTGACACTGGTTATATCACAGCTGATGTATGTACATGTACTTGTATACATGTATGTACTAGCATATACTTATGTAGTGGTTTGATGAATATCACTCTGACACTGGTTATATCACAGCTGATGTATGTACATGTACTTGTATACATGTATGTACTAGGATATACTTATGTAGTGGTTTGATGAATATCACTCTGACACTGGTTATATCACAGCTGATGTATGTACATGTACTTGTATACATGTATGTACTAGGATATACTTATGTAGTGGTTTGATGAATATCACTCTGACACTGGTTATATCACAGCTGATGTATGTACATGTACTTGTATACATGTATGTACTAGGATATACTTATGTAGTGGTTTGATGAATATCACTTTGACACTGGTTATATCACAGCTGATGTATGTACATGTACTTGTATACATGTATGTACTAGGATATACTTATGTAGTGGTTTGATGAATACCGCTCCGACACTGGTTATATCACAGCTGATGTATGTACATGTACTTGTATACATGTATGTACTAGGATATACTTATGTAGTGGTTTGATGAATATCACTTTGACACTGGTTATATCACAGCTGATGCATGTACATGTACTTGTATACATGTATGTACTAGGATATACTTATGTAGTGGTTTGATGAATATCACTTTGACACTGGTTATATCACAGCTGATGTATGTACATGTACTTGTATACATGTATGTACTAGCATATACTTATGTAGTGGTTTGATGAATATCACTTTGACACTGGTTATATCACAGCTGATGTATGTACATGTACTTGTATACATGTATGTACTAGCATATACTTATGTAGTGGTTTGATGAATATCACTTTGACACTGGTTATATCACAGCTGATGTATGTACATGTACTTGTATACATGTATGTACTAGGATATACTTATGTAGTGGTTTGATGAATATCACTTTGACACTGGTTATATCACAGCTGATGTATGTACATGTACTTGTATACATGTATGTACTAGGATATACTTATTTAGTGTTTTGATGAATATCACTTTGACACTGGTTATATCACAGCTGATGTATGTACATGTACTTGTATACATGTATGTACTAGGATATACTTATGTAGTGGTTTGATGAATATCACTTTGACACTGGTTATATCACAGCTGATGTATGTACATGTACTTGTATACATGTATGTACTAGCATATACTTATGTAGTGG